CACACACACACACACACACACGTACACACACACACAACACAAGAAAAAACACCCTCACAAAACTAACAACACAACAAGCACACCCATATTGTGACACTGACCTCCCACTGCACAATGATTCGCGTCTTGGGGTAAGTCTTGTTGAACTGCAGCTCAGCCTTGATGTCCTTCAGATCGGGAGGCATCTGAGGTTCTGTGACAAAATAAAACCCAAAAAAATTATTCGCACAGGGACTTTATAAACATTAATGTGCATTGCTATTCATATTTAAAATTACGTAGTGGAGTTCGAATATATCTATATTACCCAAAAGGTCTGTGATAAATTCCTGCACGAGGTTGAAAGATGCCTCTGTTGTGATGTGTGCATTATTGTCAGCTTTATTTTTCTCTTTATATTTAATTTTTATAAAAGCTATAATGACATATAATTTACATTCTATGTATATCTACATGTGTTTTTACCATTCCATAATATCAAAGAAAATTTGCCACTTGGACACTAAAGTATCATCTTATCTTATCTTATCTTATCTTATCTTATCTTATCTTATCTTATCTTATCCCATCTCATCTTATCTTACCCTATCTTATCATATCTATCTTTTCCTATCTTATCTTATCTTTTCTTATCTTTTCCTATCTTATCTTATCTTTTCTTATCTTACCCTATCTTGTCTTATCTTGTCTCATCTTATCTTACCTATCTTGTTTTATCTTATCTTATACACATGACTTTAATAAATCCCTCTAGCTTATAAATCACTACCTACCATCACACTTGGTCCGCACGTGTATGATGGGCCCTGGAGGACCGTCCCCGCCCTCCCCCACCCTCCTGGTGGATACGTAGATGGCGTACTTGGAGTTTGGCTTCAGGTTCTTGATGGTGTAATCACACTGGGAGATATAGGAATGTGGATCGATTGATGATGATGATGATGATGATGATGATGATGATGATGATGATGATGATGATGATGATGATGATGCTGATGATGATGATGATGATGATGATTGTGATGATGATGATCATCATCATCATTGATGATGATGATAATGAGGATAAAGAAAAAAGGAAGAGGAGGAGGAGGACACAATAAAAGAAGGAGGAGGAGGAGGAGGAGGAGGAGGAAGATGAAGAGGAAGACAAGTGAGGGAGGAAACAAAGGAGGAAGAGGATGATTAAGTATTCAAGAAGGAGGAAGAGAAGGAGGAGGAGGAAAAGGATAGAGAGAGAGGGGGGGGGAGGGGTGAACTCTGTTCAGGCTTTACCGACAAAAGAAGTAAGGACATAGCAGGAGACCCCTCCAAAAAACATTTTTTAAAAAGAAAAGTAAAACCACAACAAAAACAGCACACAATGTACTCACCGTGCTCTGGCAGTTGGTGTGGTAGTGCTGCGCTGCCAGCGTGTACACAGTATCTCTTTCGTGCCTCACGTGGACAGAGTACCACAGGATGGGCCCCTCCCCCGTGTCCCCCGCCGTGTCGTCCCACGCCGGCCACACCAGCGTCATGTTGTGGGCGCCTCGTCCATGTCGGGCCAACTTGGGCGGGGTGCTCAAGCGGGGAAGTTCTGTAAAACAAAAACCAACAAAAAAATGGTGAAATGGTATAAGTCTAACGCACCTTTCACCACCGTTAGGTTATTTAAGAGGTGTGGGACCTCCGAGTTTAACGTCCATCTCTGAAAGGACTGAGCCAAGAGGGAAACTCGTGTAAAGTACTTTTCCCTAGGATACAGCGTCGGGCCGAGCTGAGGCTCGAACCACCGAACCCGCAATCTCACGATTACGAGCCTGGTAGCCTAACCACTAGGTTACAAACGCCACTGGGGAAGTTCTGAAGAAATAAATAATGTTAGTAACAGTGGAAATGTGATGCTACACACCTATTCGATTAAACCAGTCGGCACTGTATGATCGCACCATTGTGCAGATCAGGTTTGGGATCCAATTTCCGTTTGAATAATTATTATTCTTAGTGTCTCGAATTGGCTCAATTTTATCGCAGACGAACGTTGATTTGTAGTCGCAGCCTCTTAGAAGAAAAAGGTTTTTCTTGAAATGAAAGTTATCACACCAAACAGTCATGGCCAAATTTAAGTTTGTCCTGTTACAGATATCCGGTCAAATATGATTTACGGCAAGAGGGACACAGTCAAACAAAGATCCTTTACTTACTTGATGTTGAAGCAAACTACACAGTTTGTACGCGACATCGGACTGACTGTCTAGCTGCTATCATCGAAAACGAGGAAGAAGAAGAAGAACTTACTTTATGTCACCTTTTTTTTCTACAGCTAACTATAAAAAACATTAAGGCGCACAGAGCATGCTGTAGAGCATAGATATGCGCTCTTTACAGTAAAACCTTGGTTTAATGTACTCCCTTCGGACCCAGGATTTTGAATATCTTAGCTTAGGCACGAATTAGCCAAAGAGCAAAATTAAATAATTGAGACTTACGTCTACAGTACACAAAGTAAACCTTAAAGCCGATAGCCCTTGTTAGGGTGTGTACTTAATAGTGATGTTATACTGTAAATTCAATTGTTATTATTGTTGTTATTATTATTAT